AGTCAATTTCTTAAATCTTTCAAGTGCTATATCCCTATTATCTTCCATTAAATGTTTTGAATTCGGTTTCCAAGGTAATTTTACTTGGTATCTGCAGTTCTTATACCTGATATCAGATTCGAAAGATTTCATAATTTCTAAATCAACAGTTTTGTCGTTTTGAGTATCACTTTCCAAACCCAAGTTTTCTAGCTTCCAAAACTGTTGTAACTGATCTGATATCAAGTTTTCATTTACAATTACTTTCATAGTTAATAATTCACTATGATCATTATTTACTTTACCCTGCAAACACCACCCAAATAAAGATTCTGTGGCTACTACATTTCTTGAAATTCTTTTAATTTTACCAGTAATTATAGAATAGTAGAAATCTACCCCTATGAGAATATCAATTTTGTCACTTTTTCTACAACAATCTGCTAATTGTAAATTTTGTAAAATTTTATTTTTCTTAGCAAAGTTCAAATCTGGAGGAGAGATAACAGTATTGGATATATTTTCGGTTTCAAGAAGCTCAATATATATATTAAGATTAGGATCGTTTACATTTTCTAGTTTTGCTCTAGCAACATTAAAGGTTTTTTCTAACGCACTTTTATCACCAAAGGAATAAACAGAAAGTGATTCTTTTCTAACAATCGGAAGTTCCATTTTAGTAGATACATCTTTAGTTATGAAAGATCTCATTGAGCCATTATCAAAAAGAACTCTGACATTTTGAGATTTATCATTATTTCGGATCAATGCAGAAGCCGTTTGTAATAATATTTTATTAGATCTATTTTCATCGGAATTATATGACGAAACAGCGGAAATAACGCTCGAATCCGACGTCTTCTTTTCAGGTTTTTCATTATCTTCTTTCTGATGGAATGAATAACAAATGGCTTTCGAGTGTTTATTAAAGCAGAAGGCACAGTTTATTTTTTGTTTACAATTTTGAATCCGGTGAAACCGACCCAAACAATAAAAAACACCGCGATTCACTTTTTCAAAGATCTCCTTTTTTCTTTTCTACACTTAAAATTTCGCAATCCGCAGATTTATGATGTTCCCGAACCGACACTGCAGAACAGAACCGACACTGCGATTCGGATGACGCCGCTAATAACTCAACTGTAGACGGCTTGCTTCGTTATGGCTGGAGAATGTTTATATTTGAAGGGCAAATGCTTTTCCAATCGCGAATATTTTTCTCTAGAATTATAATTAACAGAAGCCGCGCGTTCTCTACTGAATACTTCGTTCCTCAAAAAGGCTAACAAACCTTTTAAATCCCAATTTTCGTCTTTAATTTTTCGGCTATAATCAAGAACGAATTCATTAGGAAGTAATTTCAAAATTAAAGGCGTTAAGAGATTTCCGTAGGTATCAGAGTCTATTTTTAATGCTTCAAGATTTCTTATCTGTACTTCGGCGTGATCGAGAAGTTTTCTTAATCCGTTTATATCATTAGGATTTCTAACAGGTGAAGTACTTAAGAGTTGTCCTAAATGCGAATTAATTAAGATGTTCGTTTGACCAAATCTGGAACGTAACAGTTCAAGAGCAGCTTCGTAATTATTTTCGATGAGAGCGAAACCAGAAATAGCTTTGGCGGCTGAGCCACCAAGAAAGCTTTTTTTAAGTAAATTAATTTTTCTATTTTTGATAAATTCGGATTTTTATCAATCGCATTTTCGAACTGACCTATAAATTCTAACCAATCCGAAGGAATCACCATAAAATTTAGAGATGGTTAATTTTGGAAGACGAGTGAATTTGTTACTTTCGTTTTGGGATTCTGTAACGGTTTCATTAGAAATGTCTCTATTTGCATTGTCCGAATTTTCCAACTTATTCAACTCTTTCAACTTTTTCTTTCCTCTAAACTGCCACACTTGAATTTTCTCTTCATATTCCAAAGCGGATGAGATTTCAAGTTCAAATTCGTCTTCTTCGACTTTTAATTCTCGTTCTATTTCAGCGTCTCTAAATTGCTCAAGGATTTTGATTTTTCGTTTAACTGGTCTAAAATTTCTTCTAATTACATTTACATTTATACTACTATCATCTTTATTCAGTTCGGTTTCAATTTTCTTTAATATCTTGGACACTCCAGTCCTCAATACCTTTCGTTTCGATTTCAGTTTTTAGCAATAAGATCTTCCATATTATATAAAAATAGAAAATACAGGCTTACCTTGGCTGTCTTCGCATAAAATGATATCCAAAATTAAAAAACACAAACTTCTAAATTGGCCAAAGGTTCTCGGCACCGATGCGCCATATTGCGAAAGGTGGTTCTAATTCTAAATGAAGTGAAATACTTCAACAATCTACAAAAATAATCATTTTATTTACATAGAAACTTTGATTGCATCGAAGGTTCACTGCTAACTAACTACGTCGCAAACTAAAAACTAACATTCTTTTTTTCAGAAGCGAAGCGCCCTCTAACGGCGATACATAAATCATTTGGGGGATTTTTCCACAATATCATTTAGAAAGCTTCAGCTGCCCATTTCATCAAACATTCTTCTTAAACTCTCATTAAGCAAGCATTTAGTTATTTAAGAATTAATTAGTAACAGAAGGCATTATCAGCTGACCCATGGTACGTTGCCGGTGTCCCCTATACTTTTATCAGTACCTGTAGTAAGTAACTGTTACAGAGAATGTAAAGTGTCAGGAAGAGAACCTACGTAACCTAGAGTCTTCTAGCAGAAAAAAAGGATCATAGTTTTGCTCAACTTCTTGCAATTTTACTTTTTAGAACCAGTGCATGCAAAGAGACACCAGAAGCTTTACACATCTATTACACGACTTGCCATCGCGATCATAAAATGGTCTGTAAATCTGATGTTACGGTTCATTTTAAGGTTTAAGTATTCATCAAACGAGACGGCTCCAACATATCATGACAAGTGCACAGTGCCTGTACCCTTTGCATAGTAAAGCAATAAAATCCATATTAAATACACGAAACTTTAAAACAACAAAAGTTAGGAAAATATTCAAGTTTCTTGAATTAGGGAGTATAATGAATCTAAAATAGCCCGAGGTTTCCAGTATGAATATACGCATTTAATACAAGAATTGTTAACGATAGAATGAATCAATCAACGCACTCACATTACATTTCGCACAGGTTACATTTGCTATATGAGAGTGCAGCCATCCACAGCTTTATGTTTCCTTTGCTTGGGTATTCAGGCAGTTTTAAGCTATGCTATACTTACTCTGTCCCGTATTTGTGTTTGCTTGGTAATTCCACAAATTTTCGTGGTGATTGTAATAGTGGTGTGGTGGTGTATTTAATTTTGGCAAAGCACACTAGGGCTATCTGCCTAAGGAGAGGGATGCCTTGGTGGAGGACTTTCTAAGGGAAACTGATTCGTATACACGTTACACATGGGGAAAACCACGAAAACACCCATGCAGCGAGCCCGTTTGCGGGATTCGAACCTCGGACCGAACTAGCAGTGTTCAGCGACTTTACCGCTCGGCCGCTGGTGGGCCGGTGATTGTTATAGAAAAATAGAATAGCTTTCCATGTAAGTATAATTAGCAAAAATTGCGAATAAAAAAATAAATGATTACACTGTAATCAGATATTTATATCCCTGGAGGTATTACTTTGCTGTTTCATAATCATGCAGTTTTGTCATTGCAAAAATTAAGCTTTATTTGTTGCTAATGCCAAGCGTTTTATATTTACCTTCTAAAATGTTTCCAAATATTACAAAATAACATTCATTATCTCCTGTTAACCTTCTCGCATGTGCATTTATATCATCCTTTAAAACAGCTGAATTATCAATAGATGATGTTTCATCTCATCTATTACCTGAAACATAAGTAGATGGTATAGATATAATTCTTGTCCTGAATAGAAAATGAATTACATTTAAGTAGCAAAGTTTTTGTCTATGAGAATGAATTAGATTTCAAACAAATTTTGACCGATTATGCCTTCCAAAGACACGTTAATTGTTGTCTCGAAAATATCTGGTTTGTATGCCCCTTAAAGCGTGATTAAACTCTTCTTCAAACAGAATTTGAAGAAATTTGTGTCGACCATCAAGAGTATCTTGAATTAAACGTGGCAAGTTTTGAAATTCTTTGTATTTTATTGCAAACGATGCCGTTTCAAAATTTCTACCTTAATATGACATAAAATTAAATAGAAAACCTAGCGTGTTATAATATCAATGAAACTGTGTTATGTATATTATTTTTATAATTTACTATATAAATGTTGAAAAATTTGCATTTTTCCCTTGCGGCTTCCCAGTGCTGAAGGTGTATAAATTTCATCGGTCCCGCGGTAGAAGCAAAAAAGGTGTCTCCGTTGTGTCCTTTCAACGTTCTGGTCATCGACGTAGCCAGTGGCTGAAATTCTCTTTAGCGCGGTATGGGGATCTGATGTACAGCATCCTGACGTGAACAGTATCTGTTGAAGATTACAGTGCAAATACAAGTACAGCTGAATGTTCCGGAGAGCATTTATATGAAGTATCGTGTGGAATTACTGCAGCCAAGTATCTGACCACACACCAGTCAAACTCATCATCCGTTATTCAACTCCTAACTGGTTCACATGTTAGGTTTATTCCTTACATGCCATTGGCTGATATATCCTCTTCGTTGGTTTTGTTAAGCTCGAGAAAAGAGCCCATTGAAGCTTCTGTTAAACTTACAGCACGTATTCTCTTTTTGTAAGGAATCAGGTTTCACATTTCGACAAAACTCCCTTCATCACTAAATTAAAATTCAACACTAATTACATACGTTTTCACATATTACTTACCTTTTCCTCGATTACCTTTTCAAATTAAAATAATATTGTTTCAATTACATGCATAAAATAAACATGTGAGGTAATGGAAATTAAACATACCATCAAAATTCCAGAAATCAGAATCATTATATAAAATACATATGTTGGCAAGAAATTAATATTTCAGGTAAATTTGACGTGATAATGAATAGAACTGGAAAAATCTGGAACTGACCTTTACAGAATTTCTTCTCGTAATCAAATTGCTTACTAGAATACAAACATTGACAGGTAGCCTCCATTCGAAGAGTATCGTACGTACACATCGCATCTTCATCGATGCCACAAAAATTCTCGCTCTTGCATTTCGTAATTTCAGAGCAAAAGTCGCCAGTGGTTCCTGGTAGGCATTCACAAAATTTGAAATCTCCGTGTTCGGTGCAATTACCACCATTTTTGCACTCACCTGCTTGACACGGTTCTGAAAACATTGAAAATTGGAGATATAATAACATATAACATCGATATAAATACAGTAGTTATGGATACATTTGTAGAGACATTCGGTTATTTTAAGCAGGAGACATGAAAAATGTCCAGTGCCCTGGCCAAGACTCGAATCTAGACTTCTCGCATACGCGCCGAGTATGCTACCGTTAAACGACGAAGGCATGCTGGGAGAAAATACCTTATACGTTTTTAGAATAATAATACTTAGAACATGAAATAAATATGCAGGGTGTTAACTCACAGGGCTGTTTAAATGATGTATAAAACTAAATGTTTATTATGCAAATTTCTTGTATTTATTCTTTCTCAGAACTTCAAATGTGCATAGTGATTTCCACGAGATAAGAGCCGTTTGTAAAATTTCCAGCGGATATTGGATTTCATTTTCTTTGACTATTTCTCTGAGTCCATCAATCGAGGTAGATTCGCGGTTAAATAAAGCTCTTTTCAGAGGGTTAAAGGCACAACAGCCCTTAGGTTTTAAAGATATTTTACACTATTAAGCACTTATTATTTAAAAACCTTTGCTATTATCTCCTTCTTTCCGTAAGCCTCACCAGAATGCAAATTAGTTGTCTGAGTACTTCAGTCCAAGGTTTTAAATGTTAACTACCATTTTCGCAGCTCCCGTTCTTGACAAGTATCTGAAAACATTGCGAAATTGGAGATAAAATACAGTGAATGACATGGTCATATGCTTAGAATAGTGACACTTAAAATATGGAATAAATACAGAGGGTAATAGTGCATTTTTAAGACGGCTGAGGGGCTGGTTGCATAAATTATAAAATCTAAATATTTATTGCATAAATGGTTGATCTAATCTTTTACGACTTTGTCTGTGGACGCTTCTTGTGGACGTCCAGTAATATACCAATTTATGTAAGGATTAACGCTATTGTTTTTCGCTTTGATGCTTGGGATAAATCTAATGGCTTTATTGTGTGTTTTGCTACCAGTATTCCCATCTTTTAATCATTTTCTCATTTAATGATTTTTTTTTTATTTGGGATTTAGGGAATGGGACGGTAGTTGGAATTGTTTGCTGCTTCATTAGCATATTTTTAGTCTTCCTCATTCCCTCAGGTCTGCTTTCAGCCATACAATAATAATTGATAATTTTGTATAAATATAATAATTGATAATTTTTACATTTTCTAACCAATGGTGTTTATTTTTCATTTAAAAATTTGAATACGATTCTCTTTCAATTTTTTTAGCTTTCGAAATTTTCTGTGCTCTTTTATTGCAAATGGCGTCTTTTCGCCATTTCTTGATACGGTAGTAAATACAAACTAAAAATAAGCCGCTTTACAATATCATTGAGTGTATTACTCCTACAGCCGCCCAGACGGTAAACATATTAAGGGGATTACTGCCGTACGGAAAGGCCCGAATTCGAATCCCGGGAAAAACAAGTTTGTAACTATCCGTGTCTTCATAGGTCGGTATAGGTATAGGTAAAAGTAGGAGGGACACCAGATATTTAGCAACACGGTGTTTCAGGTGTTGCCCCTTCCTACTAACTTTCCTGAATAGCTTAGCTTGGAACAGAAAGATGCCCGCCTTACGCTACACCGCGGGCTGGCAGCAGTGCATTAGGGGCTCGTCTGCATGTCCTGAGTGCTTCGTATATACATTTGTATCTAAGAAAAGTTACATTATGCGGGGTGGTGCATGAATATTAATTCAACAAGGTGATACAACTCATTTTAAAAGGTAGTTAAAAATTTGTTTCATATTGTTAAATCATATGGAATATGGTTCTTCACTCATTATTTTATGGGTTGTAGTTCTTCAGTTGTTTCAGTCAGTTCCATGATGCTTACATTTCTTGCAAGGAATTCCTTTTACATATAGCATATAATTACTTAGAGTTCGTATTAGCATTCATTTTGTTGCAATCTCATAGTTTGCCAAAGCCCATTTTATAAAAATTCTACCAAATTAATTCTATTTAACATATCACTGTTATGAATATAGCTCCTGTAGTGCAGTTACATCAATTTGAACTTTAATTTATTTTATGATAGAATAAGTACTTAATTATCACATACAAAGTTCTGTGTGCTATCGTACGTTTCGCCAGTTATAGTGTAACTAGTTGTGGGAAGGACTGCGTTACATGGGAGCACATTAACTCTTGTACCTTAGCTGCTAAGAACTCGATTATATTTTGTATTTTTATTCGAAGGTGCTTATTTGCTGTTCCATACCTTAAAAACGGATCCAAGCACTGAGTTGGTTTTTTTAAGATGTAGCTCCTCTGTTAAGGGACAATCAAAAATGTATCAAAAATGTAATGCTCTGGATCGCATCTATCTCCACATACACATGTGTCACTTTCAGATATGTTTCTTTCATAGAAATATGTAGGGAAGGCGTCATGTCCAGTAATATACCAATTTATGTAAGGATTAACGCTATTGTTTTTCTCTTTGATGCTTTTGATAAATCTAATGGCCTTATTGTGTGTTTTGCTACCAGTATTCCCATCTTTTAATCATTATCTCATTTAATGATTTTTTTTTTAATTTGGGATTTAGGGAATGAGATGGTAGTTGGAATTGTTTGCTGCTTCGTTAGCATATTTGTAGCCTTCCTCATTCCCTCGGGTGGGCTTTCAGCCATACAATAATAATTTTTGTATTGGGGTTTCTTAATGAAGAGTTGATTATTTGTCTGATAATAGGTGATTTGTATGCCTTGTTTGCAGTTGCATGCATGCTTGATAAGGAATCATGGAGGCTAATAAGGTGCCTCCACCACTTCTTTGGCGTTCCCGCCATTAGATTAAAAAAAAGTATTACTAGAACATTTTATTCCCGTAGCGAAATTACCTTAAACACTCTTTTCGAACTGAATTTTTATTTAGAAATAATATGTATTGTTTAAAATATTAAGTCATAAATGTTTTGACAAGATATTTTATCATGAATAGTTTAACTGGAAACGTTAGAATATTTTAGCTGCTGCTTCAGTTTTACTTAATTCATAATGAGGCTTTTCTTTAAGCCCCTGACTTATTTTTGTTAAACTAATCTTGCTGCAGAAATTTGCGAAATTAAAATCATTAGTTAATTTTTTTAATTCAAAAATTAATATTTTAAAGAATAAATTGTAACTTATCTGTACTGAACTCCAAGTAGTGTTCGTAAAGCAATAACCTTACATGAACTACGTTTTTCAAAGAAAATCAATTCTGTCGTTTTGTTAAGCAAACCGGGAAGAATGTGATATTAAATAAATATACTTTTGCAGATTTCCTCTTTGAAAAATGTAGAATTAAATAAATATACCTTTGCAAATTTTCTTCTTGAAAAAAATGTAATTAAATAAATGTACCCTTGCAGATTTTCACCTTCAAAAGTATGGAACTGAATAAATATACTGTTGCGTACGCACGAATTTGTAATAGACTGAATTCACACGGATCCGATGACAGGTTAATAACAGTTATTTAATAAAAAAAAAAGCACTGTTCTGGATTTTTCCACAGAAATACTCGTACAGATGTTCACAGTATCACAGTTTATAATCAGTATTTACACTTCAAAGTATTAAGAACGTTGAACACAAAACAATGCAAAGTGCATCTAAGGAGAACTCTAACCCAGAGACAGCTCAAATCACACTGAGCTAACAACTCGTAATAAAAGTAACTAAACAACTGAGCGCAGATGGTCTGTCTCCGACCTTATATAGTTTTCAACCGGCCACCGAGATATATCTAATACTTTCTGCTTCTCGGAATTACGGGAAAGCAAGATGAGTGTAAAATTACGGTTACACCTAACATAGTGGTCAATTACATTTACTCAATTTTAATACATATTGCGGTGATACAGCGACAGGAGCAAAATGTCTCCAAATGGGGACCCAATTTGGCGACAAAATAAGTCGCCAAAGATTTTGTCAGCTTGGCAATATCTCGCCAAATTCCCGAGATACCCTTTTAGTCAATGTTAAATGCATTTGCCCCTGTATTGCTACTTTTTCAGCACAGCCTTCTCTTAAAATTTGTTTCGCGTTACATTGCACAGAAAAATTACAACAATTTCACATATAGCTGCACCAAAATTCGTAGCAATACCTCTTTTTTTAATTAAATAAATTTTTATTTTGGAATGAAATAAATTTACCTTTGCAGATTTTATCCTTGTAATCAAATTTCTTAATAGGGTTCGAACACCGACAGAAAGCTTTGATTTGAAGAATGTCAAATGCACAGGTCGAATGTTTGTCGGCAACACATACATTATCGTTTTTGCATTCCGTGATTTCAGAACAGTAGTCACCTGTTGTTCCTGGCAGGCATTCGCAGAATCTGAAATCTCTATCTGCAGTGCAATTACCACCATTTTTGCACTCAGTATCATAACAAGGCTCTGAAAATATTGCGAAATTATAAATACAATTATTTCTATAATACGAAATAAATACAGAAGTACTGAGACACTTTTAGAGGAATAAAAATAATTAGAATACTAAATAAATATTAATATTATTGATTCATATTTAGAATGACTTTAAGGGCTGTTTAATTAATTGTATAAACTGCAAATATTTATTAAGCAAAGTTTGAGCTTATGACCTTTTTTTAGACCTAAAATTTTGAATGGCATTTGCACGACATTGCAGATTTTTTGCCAAATTTCTAGGAATATTTCCTGCCACTTCTGTTTAACTCTTTTCATGAATCCGTCAACGGTGGCAGATGGGCGCTTACAAATAATTCTTTTCATCAGATTATTCGAAACATATACATGATGTAGTCGGAAACAGTCTTCTTGCTTTCTAGGAATGCATAGATAGCTCACGATGTACACTAGTGGTTTTGTTTTGTTGGAATTTTACTCTAAGATAAACAACGGCTTGAATTTCTCTACCATATAACAGACAGAAAAATCTTTCGTAATAATATTATGAATTCGTATGGACACTGTCTTGTATTTAATTTATAATTATAGGACAAGTTTACAACAGTCACGAACACTTTAGTGAAATTTTCTTTGCAATATTGCATGCAAGTTTGTACGAGCTTTTCTCCTCGGTTTGGAAATAAAATAATAATGATTTCCTTGCTTTAATGTACTTATTCAGTTGAACAAACTTAGTTGAACTTGTATTGACTAATGTTTATAATTTCTGCACCCTCTGCATTTTGAAACTATCGTCTTTATTAATTATTTGTCTAGTGCTACTACAGAAACATTTAAAGACTTTACAATCATTTGCGCCGGAAGTTAAAAACTTCCCTTCTGATACATTAAAAACAGTACGTATCTTTAGCGGATTATCCTGTGGAGGTTTTCTTCCATACAAATATAATTTTCTATTTCTACAAATACAGTTTTCTATTTCGGATCAAAACGTTGCTTATTTTGCATTCATAAATTTTTATACAACGGGCTATTAATGCCATCTGCTGCTTTTAAAGTAATCTGTGTTTCTATTGCAAATCGCACCTTCTCGCCATTTCTTGATATATTAGTGAAAGCTGTAGAGTCATTAGGTTATACCAGGGGTCTCCAAACTTTCCAGCCTTAAACCCATACTGATTCCTCGAGTAATTTCCGAGAGGCAAAACCCTTGTTCAGTGCACGTCCCTAATTTTCTGAACATCTGGTGGTCAAAAGCGGAAATAGGTAGTACCCTCTATACGCTAACTGCTAACAGAAAGCGCTAGTAGACCTTTGAAAGCGAGATTAAACAATTAAACATTCTCATTACAAAATAGCCAACGGCTGTTTAAGTTAGCATTCTACGTAAATTTGACAAAACGTGTGAACGAAGGGAATTTGAGATTGCAAGGAGAAAACTAGCTTCTCCCTGATTTATACACTAATATCAAATTGATCCTGAAGAAAATAATACTATTTCAATCACAATTGCGCAAAAAAAATTTTTCACGCATTTTAAAACATGTGAAACATTGAGCCTCACTATTGAGACTTAATTTCTTGTCGATTTTACAATCGAAGTTTTGAGTGCTTTGGAGATAAATTTTGATACTCGTTTCTCATACTTTCATATCATTGCGAATGAAATTAAGATTTTTCAAAATCCTTTTGATACTAACATTAAAACCTAATCCTCGGAACTTCAGATGGAACTCATTGATTTACAGCGCAGTGATATAATTAAGCACGAATATCCAAACTCATCTTTCTTGCAATTTTATAGAGTCTTCCACTGGTACAATTTAATAATTTTCATAAATTTGCTCATGAGCTGTTTTTGGTACTACTTACTTGTGTGAGAAAACATTCTCTAAAATGTTTATGGATTAACTTCTAAAATGCTCATGGATTAACTTATATCTGTAAACAAAGAAAGTTTACAGATATAAGTTAATCCATGAGCGTCTCAAATATGTTTTAATAATTGGCATAAAAAATTGGTTCGCAACTGCAAACTATTGTCAGTGGAAAATCACAATTACATAAATCTCATTCATATTTTCTACAAGTGAACGATTGTCATTAAGCTTTGCTTAACATGTAAATAAAACCGAGTTATTATTCCGCGTTTATTATCTAACTTATCACAGCAACAATAACAACAATAAGTCATTAAGCTGTCTCGGGTCGGATTAATGAGACTGCTGGCGGTTCGGCCGCGGGTCGACCCTTGGGTTATACGAAAGCTGGAACGTGAAAAATGAGCAATGATCTCTCCGGGATTCGAACTCAAGACATCCCGAATACGAGCTGAGGGTGCTTCCGGCTACACCCCTAAGGCATGTGGAAAATAGGGAGGAACTACCTAATATAAGTTCCCTTTTAAAGCAGACATATTTACTTGCTTACCACCAACTGAGTTTTTGCACCGTCTGTTATACCACTATCAGCATTTGTACTCAATTGATAGAGCATTTTATTGTCGCTAGGACTATCCAGAAAGCTCTACAGAATATTAAAATGTGTAGTGGAATTTATAAAGTTACATCGGAAGATGGGTATTTGTGACTTGCGGTTGTTTGTTTTATGTTTTAACTTGTTCCTTGATTTGATTTTCATATGTTTCAATTTTTCAAGTGTCACATCCATAGGTATTTTACTGTATTTTTGCCATTACTAGTTTCCAACGCTAAGTATTTTACTGTGTTTATTTTCTTTTTTCGTGTAGCAAAATTTCTCACCCTTCAATGACATTGTTTTTTAAAATGTGTTGAACTTTTTGGAGCCACAGCTCCTGGTAACTTTTAGGCGAGCTTACTACAATTTCTAATTTACTTATTTTGCAGCATATTGCGCAAAATGTTTTCTACACCAAATTGGTCATACAGTATTGTACTAACTACCTTGCTTGTTAAATTTATATAGTATACCTCTATTCTAACATAGTTATTTTGACACAAAATCGAACTTTTTCTGAAATAACATACCAATTTTTTTATATATTTCGATTCTACGACTCACATTATGCCTAAATATGAAATTTTGTAACATTTGGTGCGAAATTTACGGAGAAATTCACAATTTATGTTGGCGCTTTTTTTTTTTTTTTTTTTTTTTTTTTTTTTTTTTTTTTGGTTTGCGCCAAGAATAGTTCACCTTGGCGAATTTCTTTATATGGCAACTTGGCGAATTTCTTTTATTTCTTTATATTTATTATTTGAATTGCGGTTCTTTCGGAAGATGCTTTGGTCCCAGACTATGGGGCGCTGAAACTGAATATATTAAAGAGAAAAACAGTAAAGCACAGATAACACGCCTTTCAATGTTCCATTCAGAAAAGATATATAAATGAGAAATATGTGTAACCGACATTTTAGCTTAGGATGACTTACATATATTGCTTTAAATAGCTTTAACATTGTGCTCATTGTTTTACACAATTTTATCGTCCTACATTTAGTTTCTTAAAATATTATTCATATTTTAGTCAAATATTTTATTTCTAAAGAAGCAAAAATAAAATATCATAAGATTAAAAAGGTTTAAGTTAAAAAAAATACTAAATTTTGTGCACTTTTTTTTTTTTTTTTTCCTTAATGGCTTGCTCTTTTTCTTCAGGCATTCTGAAAGTATATTAAAAAACATCCAACTTTTCGAAACATCTTGGTATTTCTGACATTCATTTTAAATAAATTTCTCGCCTTCCATTTCATAAAGGCCCACATACGGCCGAGCGGTAACGTCGCTGAACACTAGTAGTTCGCTCTGGGGTTAGAATCCCGACGAACGGGCTGGTTGCATGGGCGTTTTCGTGGTTTTTCTCGTTGTAACATGTATGCCAGCTGGTTTCCCTTAGAAAGTTCTTCACGAAGGCATATTTCGTTTTAGACAAATAGCCCTGCTTTGCCGTAACTTAATAATCCAATTCAGTCCATTTCATCGGTATTTGGTCACAGCCTTCAATGTTTAGAGGCTAAGCATTTTGTTTGATAATGAGTGTTTAGAAGCTAAGCATTTTGAAGACATAAGATTAAAGGAAAGACTCGTTTCATCAAGAGGGAAAACGTCTTTAGGAGATATCCACATACATCACTGCGGATAAATTCCTGAATATTCAAATAATTCAACTAAGAAATCATGGGATTCTCCGGTTATGATGATATGATGTTCGATAACGTAATTTAAATTTATATAATTATATAGTTGAAAACCAGCCGCTCTTCGCTTTAATCTGCAATGATATCGTTTTTGTCTTTGGCGTTAGCACAAGCTCAATTGATAGTATTTGCTGGTGTACGCGTCGAAGTGTACTGCGTTTCATTTGAAGACAGCCTTTCAATTTCTAGGCATTTTAACTAAAGTTTAAAGCAATGTCCAAAGGATACATATTTTAATTAAAAGATTTTTTGCTAAATGACAAAGACATAAAACAGTCCAGCACTGTTTATTTTGCACCACTGAGTGACCCGATTTTTATATCGGCTACAAACAATCTAAATCATATTAAAGATCATGTTTTTTATACTGTCTATAACACGAGAGGAAATTAGCTATTTAAAATATTCCTTCGAAGAGAATTAATGTAAAAATTTATATATATATATATATATATATTTTAAAGCTGGGACATGACCCAAAATGTCAACGTCCTGTTTGCTTAAAAGCATTGTGAAAAGAAACATCAAACGGATTTTCTCAGTTTAGACAATTCAGTTTAAGCGCAGTCAAAGTAAAGTAGCAGACGATAACAAGGCGAAGGTAACAATTTACTCTTACAAGTATTAAAAAAAAAAAAAAAAAGAAAGAAAGAAATTTAAAAAAGTTAAAAACTTGAATAATATCATCTATAATTAGAAAAAATAGTTTTTCATATAGTATGAATAAATATTTATTCCATGTCATTGCGAGAAAAAATTTCATTTAATTAATTCTCTAAAATTTATTTGAAATTTTTTATATGAGAGTTTCGACACCAAGGTTAAATTTTACTTCAGGTACCATTTTTGGCTCCTATATGTTAAATGTTAAATATGAACTACTTGCCGTGAAAGGTTTCTACTTCCTCTAGGGAGGAAAACTAAACTCTTAAAATTTGAAAATTTAGTGATCGTATAGTGAAACGTGTACAGCATTTTTGCGTTGTGAAAAAAATGCATTCCGGGACCGCGCCGTGAGAGGATCGAAAACATAAGAAAAACATATACAAGATATAAAGGAAAAGTTCATATTAAATATATAAAGAAAACATACTGTAAGAGGTTCCAGATTAAATATCAGTTTATTCAATTACAACACAATAAGAAAAATCTTAACCTCATCTGAGAGTCTGAGAGTCATCAATTGTCATTTCTTTTTTTCATTTAAATTCATAAAAAAAACTTAAGGTTTGTCTGGTGATTTAAAAGAAAGGAAAGGGAAACAATTTAAGGCCTGAGAGTTAAATTTTAGATTCGACGTTGTTTTTTTTACTGCTAAGGACGTTTTTGAAAAACTTGCCTAAAGTTCAACACACCAAAAAAATAAAACTTATCTTGTTGGACATCTTGAAGTGGAGGACTCGTATCTTAATCCAAGCGTTGATGTCGGCCGGGCTCATCTTGACACTGGTTCTCAAATGTAGACGCCACTTCACCACTGTAGAACAGAAACAGGAGCACTGCTGCCCAGGACGGCTATCCGCTTGGTCCTGAAAGTCCTATGTCAACACGCAGGTAACTCGTTCAAATTTCGCCTCTTTACCAGCACGCCGCAAGGGGAGGGTTTTCAGCTTTCAGGCCAGAAACGTTTTTTTTCTAGGCAATTACGGCTCGCCTGTTCTTACTCATCCCAAGAGCAAGCTTCACGAGTAACGTCCCAAGTAAGTTCCCCCACCCGCCGAGTCCAGTAAGAGAGAGTCCTCTTAACCAAAACGCGGCCGGGGAGCATATTTGCCGCTCCCCGCCGGGAAAACACCTCTTCGTAATTACATTTTGTCCAGCCAGCAAGTTTCCAGAGTAAGTCCAAAATCCAGTCAGAGTCAGCCAAAAGTAAGTGAATCCAACTCGAATTTCCTTCGTCTCCTTCACCAAAACGGGCTCCCACTATGGCTTCACTTATCGCCCCCTTAATTATGGCAAAATCTTCGTTTTCAACTCCAGAATGCGGAAATAAGGGTGATCGCGCATGCGCGCCCTTCTTCACTTAGCCAACAACCGGACCCTCAATCGCCAAAAACCTGAATGACTTACATTGAAAGACAAGTAGCAACCTTTGACCTTTCCGTCACGTACTTTCCTCTCTTAAGGTCAACTAACAATGAAAATTCTTTCTCGAACATTCTAAAGGACAAAGCGCGCGAAATCATGACTTGGCGAAAATTGCCTCCCTTTCCCTGCTTCTTTCACAATGAATAAAAGTTTGTACAAGATTTGCAAATAGAGGAAAATAAATAATACTCTTTTAAACTAAATAATATTCCCAGAAGCATCTGTTTTTTCCCCAAAATTAAAGCCTTAAAATAAATAATTCAGAATCAAATAAAATTAAATTTCCATAAATCATAAAATCATTCACCTAATTTTTATAACGCTATCAGATAATTTCTCTACATAACATTCCTTTCCCCTAAGGAATTAAATTTTGGTTTACCAAAATTTAGCAGACAGACACTTCTTGAAATACCATGACTCATACTGTGCAATAAGGCTAAAGGATAACATAATGTAACAATATTTCACACGACTCCTTGGTACAGTGACGTTACTGACACATTAGATTTCAAGTCCAAAATGTGCAAGTAAAACAACAAGGTTAATCAAAGCAATTACTAATTAAAATACTCAAGGAAGATCATCAAAAACAATTAATCAAAAACATCAATTAAATCAC